AAGGTAGTGCTAAAATACGCACCTGAGCATGTGTACTGTGACAAGGAGGGGAAGATTCATGTCTATGACAAGATGTGGACTGGTGATTGGTGGTGGGACACACAAGTACGTTGCACTGGAGCTTGCCAGACAACCATGGACTGATCCCCATGACAGTGGAAGCTTGATGTGGGGGTGACAATTGCTGCTCTAATTATTTCTTCAGACAAGACTCAACTAACCCAGTTTCAGGGTGACAAGAAGGCCTGGCCTATTTACCTTACAATTGGAAACATTGAGAAGGATAAGCATCGTAAACCCTCGGCCCACGCCACCATCCTTATTGGGTATTTGCCAGTTGCAAAATTGGACAATTACACCAAAGCAACATGTTCTCAAGAGGGCTACCGACTTTTCCATTTCTGCATGAAGAAACTGTTAGCGCCTCTCATCAAAGCTGGGGAAGAGGGTGTCAATGTTACCTGTGCGGACGGCATTGTTCGTTGGGTATTCCCAATCCTCGCTTCGTATATTGTGAATTTTCTGGAGCAGTGTCTTGTTGCATGCTGCAAAGAGAGCTACTGCCCCAAGTGCCGAGTGGAACCAAAAGATCACAGGGAGATGGTGGACTCCTTGCTACAAGAACAAGAATGTAGCAAGACCATTTTAAGTCACAAAGAGACTGGGCGGCGTGTTGCTGCTTATGATAACGAGGGTTTCCGCCCTGTATGGAAGCCATTTTGGGCCAACCTTCCTCATATCAATATCTTCACATGTTTCACACCCGACATCCTTCACCAGCTTCACAAGGGAGTCTTCACGGATCATCTAGTCAGCTGGTGTGTTGAGCTTGCAGGCAAATATGAGATAGATGCACGTTTCTGCAGTATGCCTAGTTATCCAGGCCTTCGACACTTCAAAAATGGGATCTCCCACATATCCCAGTGGATGGGGCGAGAACACAAGGAAATGCAATGTGTCTTTGTCGGTTTGCTGGTGGGTGCAGTACAACCTGCTGTTCTGTGGACTGCATGCACAGCTATCAACTTCATATACTATTCACAACTGCACATACAGTTGAGTGCAAAAAGAATGGACCACCTGTCATTTTCTGGTTCTTTCTGAGAATCTATTGTAGTCTAAATGTAGTTGTGTATTCCTCTACATTATGTAGTTGTATTACACTTCCCTTGGTATGGGCTAATTTGGGTGAAAGCTGGAGCTGTGATGAGGTTTTTGTTCTGATGGCCATTTTCAGCACCTGTTGAAAAAAATATGCGCTAACTGGACAGAGAGCTAAAATGTACCTCTGGTTAGCCTGAATGAGCCCATCAAAGAATCAGTTGAAAATACTGAGTGATTATGCCTGTAGAGCCTGTAGAAAATGGTCATTTTGGGCTATTTTGG